ACACAAAGGCATAGTATTCCTTTATGATGTATGCTATATTTCTGTGGATAAGGCACCCCACGCCTAGATCTTTTCTGTAAACCAACAAAAAAACGATAGCAAAGAACGTGCCAATTCTGTAGCACTGTATAGGCCCAATATGTCCTCCTTACCTTACTGGGCCCTATTACATCCCATTTAGTACAATCGAGTTCCTCGAAAGCACAGCTAGACTTGCCTCACTAGGAAAGGTTCTCGCGTTAAAGGATGACAAGTTTAGGCTCCAATGGCAGCCTGTCCAGACCCGGAGATTCTTAGCACCCTCTGCTGCGTAGCAGATCTTACCGCCACATTGGTCAGTTGTTTTGCTGCCGCTGGTGACTGAGGGCCGAGGGTTCATTGGCGTATCTAAGATACGATGCAGTAACTATAAAATGGTAAGGTCTCCAATCCGCCTACACTTGAAAAATGAGCGGCAGAAACTGATACGCAAGAAGCTAATCAATGAGCTATCATTGATAGGGAAAATACAGGAATTCAGAGTTTCGCTTCAGAACAGATACTCGGCTGTTATTGAGGAAACCAGCCGTGGTGTTGACTAAATGAATGAAAATCGGACAAGTACCATTACGGAATGTGCAGTGGAAGTTGGAGGGGGGTAGTTTGACAGGACACAAGCAAGCTGTCCCAGGAGATGAAGATGCTCATTAAAAAATGTAAAATATGAAAGCCCCAAGTACAACAGATAAAATAGAGTTGGTAGAGCTTTCGAAGTTGAATATTAAGCGTAAGGTATCCGATGTAAGAAAGTATAACATGTAGAGAGTTTAACATGATGTAAAGAATGGAGGAAGCGTCAAAATGATGAAGAGGAAACTTGGGATAGCCAAAAACCTGATATATCCACTAAGGGACAAGAAAGGTAAACTAACAAGGAATATGGATAGGATAGTTAAAGTAGCGCGGGAATTTCACCGTGATCTGTAAAGTAGCCAGGGCAAGCACGACCATATTGCAAGAACTAGCAGTACCCTGGATGACATCCCACCAGTAGTCACAGAAGTCAGGAAAGCCTTGGAGTGAATGAAAAAAGCAAAGCTGCTGGTGAGGATCAGGTAGCATCTGATCAGCTGAAAGACGGAGGGCAGATTGGGTTTTAAAAAAACTGGCCACGCTCTTTATGAAGGGCCTCTTGACGGGGAGGGTATACCACAATCTTGGGAGAATGCTAACATCATCTTAATTCATAAGAAACGTGATGACAAGGGCTTGGAGAATTACAAACTGATCAGCTTGCTCTCCATCGTATACAAGCTATTTACAAAAGTTTTGCTAACACAGTTAGGGCAACGTTAGCATTCAATCAATCAAAGAATCAAGCTTGATTTCGTACAGGCTGCTCAACAATCAAGTGCATTCATACTACCAATCAGGTGATCGAGAAATGCTCAGAATACAGCGAACCATTATACGTAGTCATTAAAGAAAAGGCATTTGATTTAGTAAAGATATCAGCAATCATGCAGGCACTGCGGAACCAGGGCGTCGATGAGGCATGTATAAACATCCTGGAAGAAATCTATAGAGGATCAACTACCACTATACGAGTAGTGCTTCATAATGAAAGTGACAGAATACCAATAAAAAATGGTGTAAGCAAAGGGGATACAATCTCCCCAGTGCTATATCTACCTCGTGCTTACAGGAGGCTTTAAGAGGCTCAGAATGGGAACAGTTAGGGATACGAGTCAAGGGAGAGTACCTTAGTAACCTGCGCTTCACCGATGCTAATGCATAGCTGAGTAATTCAGGAGAGGTATTGCAATTCATGAGAACTGGGTTTGACAAGAAGAGCAGAAAAATAGGCCTTAAGATTCATCTGCATGAAACAAAAGTAATGTACAACAACCTCGGAAGAGAACAGCGCTTCGAGAGAGGTAGTAGTGCACTTGAAGTTGTAAAAGAGTGCGTCTACTTAAGACATGTATACTAACCGCGGAGCCGAACCACGAGATTGAAGTAACTAGAAGAATAATTATGGGGTAGAGAACGTTCGGCAATCATTCTCAAATTATGAATTGTAGATTGTCACTGTCCCTCAAAAGGGAGGTATATAATAACTGCATCTTACCGGTACTTACCTACGCAGCAGAAACCTGTCCGGAGGATTACAAAAAGGGTTCTACTTAAGTTGAGGACGACGCAGCGAGTAATAGAAAGAAATATGACAGGTGTTACCTTAAGAGGCAAGAACAGAGCAGAGTGGGTCAGAGAGCAAACTGGTGTTAAGTATATAATAGTTGAATTCAAGAAAAATAAATGGGCATGGGCCGGGCACGTAGCTCGTAAGCAGGCACGAAGGCTAACTGACTGGATTCGCAAAGAAGGCAAACACACGAAGGGGAGACAAAACGTTTGTTGAGCCGATGAGATTGAAAAGTTAGCAAATATAACAAGGCAGCCGGAAGTATAAGACCGGGTTGATTGGTGGATCGTGGGAGAGGCCTTTGGCCTGCAGTTGGCGTAGTCAGTCTGATGATGTTGATGACCTGTACTGGAGTATGTAATTATGAAGAATTATAATGCGGACGAAAAGACAACTTGTTACCGGTAGGAACAGACCGTGAATATACACAAGGTGCCCCAACAATATTGAGCCATGCTTAAACATTATGCCTGCGCACTCTGTAATGATTCGAGCAAATGCGTATTGCTTACGCTCGTCTGATTTAGGTCACACAAAATTTTGTTTTTTTTCCTGATCACCTATTTAAGCATAATTAATTAATTTTTGAAGCAACGAAGGGATGTTAGTGAAAAATTATATGACGGAAAATTATAGATCGGTTCACCAAAAGGCCGATTAGACGGTTCCTAACGTTGTATCTCTTAATTAATTTAATTTTCCTGCTTATTGCGAATGCCCTAAAAAACACCACGTGACATGCCCGCTGGAGTACCTACCCACGTCACGATTGCCGTGCTTCCTAGCGTTCCGCATACAAACGAAATGCTTACCACGCCACGGTTGATGAGAGCGATAATCAGCTGCAGTGGTGGTTGTTTTTGTTACCGCTAGCAAAATGTGCGTCACCTCGCGGCACCACTATCTTCGCCATTTGGCCAAGGCAGCACACCGAGCCAAATACTGTGACCTTTTTCAAGCACAGAACGTTTGAGAGCGCTGCAATACGGCACATGTAACGTGTTTTTTTAATACGTAAAAACTGAAAGCACGCTCAATTTCGCACAAATTCAAGAAGTGATGCGTCACTGAAAATGTTATTCCTAATATACCGTCCAATTATGGTAACAGGCCACGCCGGGTGTGCAGGAAAGGCGGCCGCTGTGCGACTCGCATCGGAGCGCTTCGTGAAGATATTCGAGTAAAGGTGCGTCGCTGCAGCATTTTGTTGAGGAAAGCGGTTAGTCATGAAGGCGCCACCAGTGGATCATTCTACTTTTGCACGTGATGTTTGGTACAAATCGGTTACTTCCACGCTCTCCGCGAGAAAACCGCAATTTATCGTGCATTGTAAAATTCTGGAAGGCCGCTATGGTGATTTTTACTGCACACGAGTGTAAGAGTCATTTACTTTTTAGTGCTTATGAAAATAAGATAATAATAGCTTCACTTGACACGCAAAGATTAAGCTGTTATCTTGCGTGTTACAGACAACGTGTTTTTTATAACCAGACTAGGCTGCTACATGAATTCATTCAAATGTTGTCACTTCTTCATTACGATAAATTCCGCACTGCAACTGCCTTTCGCGCGCGCACAATGTCCACATTGGGGCATTGAATAAAAGGCCAATGTTTAAATTTTCGCGTAATTTTGTGCATATCGAAAACTGAGAAATGTTTGTGGCACCCTACAATATCTTCATATGACGACTCCGTTCAAGTTCATGTGTAAAATGTTAACTTACTTGGATTTAGGTGTATGTAGATTAGAGAACCCTAGGTGGGCGAAACTTCCGGACTGTCCACTACTGCGTGCCTTATAATCATATCGGGGTTTGGGCGCTTGAAATCCCAGAAGGTAATATTATTGAAGTTCTAATTAACAGGCTTCTATTATTATATTTTTGAAGGAACCTACAGCGGCGAAGTGTTTCCGTCTGGTGATGAGTTCATTTGGAAGACAGCAAGTGCGTAACTACAAAAGCTTGTTATATTTAAAAAAAAACCTGCAATTTTTCGTAAAACATGTGCGTATATTTTCTTCTTATAATTCTAATTTACCTTTCACACTGTAGAATAACCAACCGGAAATTTCTTCTGGTTAATCACCCCATCTTTCGTTACTTCCACATCTTTTCTCTCTCTCCTTCCCATGTATGGTGCTTCTATTCCTAGCATTTTCGATAAGTTGTATATACATAGAAGTGGGCAACCTTAGGGAAAAGGGTGTGACTTTGCACAATACGTTCAAATGATACGGATGCTTATAAATACGTTACGTTGATTACTCATTTGGATGGTCCTCTTGCAGCGAAATACTGCTAGTCACTTTTGACCTGATACACACGAAATGGGGGGAAAAAGTGAGAGAAATGTGGAACGAGTGCCGTTTTTACAGCACGGCCTACGATGTTTCATTCAGCTCCCCCGATTCGGTCAGCGACCCGAGTGATGTCATATCTGCAGGAATGACGACAAAGTACGGCTGCCTGGTTCGTGGAAGCGTGTTGTCGTTAGTCAAGAGAAACGGAGCGCGCGTGCACAAAGGACCCCGCTCTGACCGACCACTAAGATCAGCCTCGTTCGGCGAGCCTGCGAAGATGAGCGAGCATCTTCCGACGCGCTCCTCGTGCGATGGGCATGGACGCGGCCGCGGAAGATGGGGAGCCCGCGGCCCTTCCCTTCGGAGACCTCTTCTAATCCTGGTTCACCGTGCGTTGTGCTGGTGGCGGCGAGGTGGGCGAGGAGGCACGCAGCAAAACAACAACGGCCGCCCTGCCAGACGAGTCGTGTGTGCCGGGCTTTGCCGGGCAGGCCAGACAGCGGGGAGGCAGCGCCGTCTGTGGCCGTGGCGCGCACTCGCCGTCGCTCATTGATGCGCTCGCGCCCACTCGGAGCGCCAGGACGCACGGCCGCTGTAGCCGCCGAAACCGCCGCTCGTTGCCGCCGCCACCGCGTCGTTGTTTACCCCCGGCCGGGTCGTCGTCGCTGAGCGCACGTGCTCCTTCTGCCGGGACCGTTACTCGCGGCCGCGCCACACGCCGGCGCGTGCCGACTTGACCTCCATCACTACTGGATGCCTCGCCGTCTGGTGCTGCACTGAGCCGGTAAGCGCACTCCTCTGTCTTCGCTCGTACTGTTTGTTCGTTTGAGCGAGTCGACACCGCAAAGAGATGTTTGACACTTGAAAGGTGTCTGACCGTTTTTGAGTGCGGTAGCCGCGAAAAATGGGGCTGCTAGAGAGACAATCCCAGTAAACTCGCAATTTAAGGCGTGAAGGCTGTTCAACCTGCTCTGAGAATTTGGAAGCACCAAGAAAGAACGCCCACACGCGTTTGTTGTAACCATACTTTGCCGTGAACAAGCGATGCAGCATCGCTTAGAGCTGAGATTCAAGCGATCGAATGTTTGTGATGTTTCGAAATTTCTCTGCTTCAAAAACCGCGCGTTTCTGAAGCAAAGAAATTCGGCGCAGTCGAACGAGTGGAATGGGAGCACGTGGTCGTTGGGTTGTGATCCCATCGATCTCTATCGATCAAAGCTAAAGCCGTCGCAGAACAGCATGGTACGGCAGGGGCGGAGCCAACTAAAGGGGAGATCCAATGAGTGCTACGAGGCGTCGTGGCGGCGCACACGCTGTAGGCCCCGCCACATGTGCGCTCTGACGCGCGCAGCTAGTACTCCGTCAAGTACATATCCTTTTTTTCCCTGTTACGTTATTATTTTTTGTTGCTCCGTGACGTTTATGTCCAATTTGCTGTGTGACTCTCGCGCGGCCAGATGCTGCGAACTGCGCCTGCTGAGATTCCACCGGTGCTTCTGCCCTGTTTTTAGCATTTGATTGACATGGGACGGAGTGAAACCGGGGAAGTCCAGGTGTTGCAGTTCACTTTGGCTGCCACCATTTGTGCGCTGTAGTGCATGCGGCTACATCGAGACAGACGCGCAAGCTGCATCATGTTGTACAGTTGTGATCACCCGCAAAAAAACACGTAGAACTATTTCGCCGTCCTTGACAAAAAAAAAAAATTAATTACGCAAGGTATGTATCGCACTTGGGCACCCTCTTTACCAATACTAGAATGACGTACTGCATCACATAAATCAATTGCACCGTTCATTCGTCCCTGCGTACTATCTCATCAATAAAGGATCCGCTGAATGTGCATGAATCGGAGCATTTGCGCTGCAGATCTCGACCGGATTTGTTGTGTAGCTAATCAGCGTACTACATTGTAACCATCTCACTGAACAAGCTTTTAAGTCATTCGCACGGTGACCACGCCCAGGTTGAAGAAGTAGTACGAGAAAAAGCGAACTTGCGTCAGATGGCGATATAATATACGAACCGAAAAAAAAATTTAAAAAAATGCTACAATGATGCAACCAGGCTTGTTAATTTTAATTATATTGAGTTGTTTCTTTGTGTAGCAGTATTGTAGAATAAAGTGAACTTCAGTCATCTTTGGAAACACCTTCGGAAAATCGTAGAAATAGTAAGTGCGCTCTATAATGAAGCGTCGAATGAGCAAAAGTTAGCCTGAGTAAAATGTTTAAACTTGTAACCAGTGTATTTTGATACACCCATTTGTTTCGTCGTAATATAATGAAACTAATATTGAGTGGACCACCGTCATAAATACTTCATGAATCTGATGGTTGCAATGAGCACGGAAGGATTAATTTATCCAAAATGTCCATCCATATTGACGTGCCCCATCAAAATGTGTCTTATTCCCGACTTGATTCTGTATTCATGCGGCACAGAATGAATTGGTCTTTTGTTTCTTCCTTGTCTGAGTAGGCAACGGAGAAATAGCGTTTGTTGAAAAACCTTCCTATAGATGATTTTCATTGGCTTTTTTTCTTTATTAAGTTTATGGTCCCACTTGTGTATGAAGTGGAAAAGTTTAAAATATTGAATATGCGATGTCGAGTAAACGTACTCGGCTCATACAGACGCGAAAGAGAAAAAGTTAGCAGCGCAACCATTTATTCCATAATGCTGAAGTTAACATTATATTTTCTCAGAGCGAGAAAACATAGAACATAATGAGATTCTTTCTAAGAAATCCTAGAAGGAATTAGTGACAGTTATTATAGTGATAAGATAACGAGTAGATGTTAAAGATGTTGACATCATAATATATTGTGTCAACAACTCCCATCTTCTTTGTTATGATGTTAATAGTGGTAAGTATAGGTGCCAAAGAAATTACTGTATAAGTTTAGCGTGTGACACAAGTTACCAGCCACATCTGTTATGCTTCATTTCTAAGTGATCACTGCGCAAGCCCGATCGACAGTTCATTGTGGTAAAATGAGCGAAGAAAAAAAATGGTTTTATGTCTTTCTTATTGAATAAAAGAAGTGCTTTGTATTCCAAAACAAGTCCACGTACGCTGTTGAGAGTACTTTCAAGTACATTTTGCTTCTCCTTCGCAGTAGTGCACGATGGATAGCGAAAACCATGGCCGAACCACCTTCTATAGCTATCGCCTGATGTAGCTTGGAAAAGTGTAAAGCACGATGCGCAATGCACGCACTTCTTAAATGTAATAGCAACACTTTCATATAGTCTTCTTGAGACGTTGTAGGGTAAATCGGTGTAGCTGTACTACAGCTATTCAAGTAAAAAGAACCGGCACATCGGTTCAGTGGTTTCAGAGACCCGGTAACCTAAAGGGATGTACGGTAGCTGTATACGCGTTGGCCATGCAATCGCTCCCCGACACCTGCTTGTCCAGCCGCTAAGGAGATACGATGGTATCTAGGAAGTGCCTCACACAAGTCCTGAGGTCATTCAGAAAGGCTGAGGGAGACAAGCGGAACTAAAAGAAAAGGTAGCCCCTACGGCGTAGATGCCAGAGCAGCTTAAGGTTTATTGGCCAGCACCACGGGCTATCGTTAAAATTACGATTGCAGAGCTTGTTTACAGCGCGCAATCTGGACAAATCGTCAAGATCGTGAGAAAATAGCCACTTCCGGACAAATCGGCCTCATTTCGGATACCTTCGTGTATGGCATGCAATTGCTACAACCGGCCTTTTTTTTTTTTTTTTTGCTTATACGTAGACATATATCACAAATATTGACGGCTCGAGGAGAAGTGAATGCCATGTTTGAAACAAAAAAAAATAAGGTGCGTATTCTGAGTGAATGTTGTTCCCTTTACTCAATCTTTAACATGCGTTGCTCCTCCAAAAGTTTAGTGCCTTAGGCTTAAGTTAGAAAACCTTCAGATGTTTGTGATATTTTAATGGTAACTCACTTCAGTGCATCAAGGGACAAGCTCGTAAAAACTCCTGTACTATACTAAGCAAACCTGCTGCCCGCTCAATGCAGGGGATGTAGCGTAAGGCTAAATTGTATTTTAGTTCAGTTTCGGATTTTTGTAACGAACCATTTAGTCAGCGATAGATTTCAAACCGCGGATAAGTTTAATACTGCGCCATGCAGAAGTCGTAAGAGAGAAAGAAGAGCACACCGATGTTCACCAGCACCAACGTTGCTGTGGCCACCTTTAGAATGGGAAGGCTATGTGGCGTACGAAATGAGCCTGAATACCATTGACGTTCGATAGCTCACAATATGAACATTGCAAAGTCTGTACCGCAAAGCGACCATGTTGTCGGAATTCTGAGTTTGGAAAAGATTGCGTAATAGGTTCGACTTCCTCATCCACAAGCCTTCGCATTATACCATCCTTGGCGTTATGAAGAGGTATCATCAGCCAATATGAGGGAACTTGTTATAAGTGTGTATTCAAACAGATAAATAATTGGAACAAGCAGCTTGATTTCAACAACGAAATACAACAGAGAATGGAGTCTTGAATTGTTAATTATGGTGAAGGTATTACAGAGAGTGAGTGAGAACATGTACTGGGTTACAAAAAAGTACATGTTCAGATAAAAAATATGTCATGCTAGGAAATCTGATATTTCAGTGGATTATGGCTCCTGTTATTCCATGCAGTGTACCAGTGATTTTATTAGTAAAAATGGCATGAGCACTGGAGTCGATCACCGTGTCTTACTATCTGCACATCATCAGCCTACTGCAGGGAAAAGCCTCCTCTCCCACGATCCGCCAATCAACCCGGTCTTGTGCTTTTTTGTGCCACGTTATACCTGCGAACTTTTTATTCTCATCAGCCCACTTAACTTTCTGTCTCCCCTTCATGTGTTTGCCTTCTCTGGGAATCCAGTCAGTTACCCTTAACGACCACAGGTTATCCTGCCCAGGTACTACGTTACCGGCCCATGTCCATTTTTTCTTCTTGATTTCGGTTATGGTATCATTAGCCCTGGTTTGTTTCTTGACCCACTCTGTTCTCTTCCTGTCTCTTAAGGTTACACATGTATATTTTCCTTTCCATCGCTTGCTGCGTCGTCCTCAATTTAAGCTGAACCCTCTTTGTAAGCCTCCTGGTTTCTACTTCGTTAGTAAGTACCGCCAAGATGCAGCTGTTATGTAGCTTTCCCTTGAGGGACACTGGCAGAATACGATTGATGGTTTGAGAATGCTTGCCGAATGTGATCTACTTCATCCTTATTCTTCTAGTTATTTCACTCTCATGGTTCGGCTCCACGGTTACTACCTGTCTTAAGTAGATATTTGTTTACAACTTCCAGCATCACTGCACCTATCGCAAAGTTCTATTTTCTGCCGAGACTGTTGCACATTACTTTAGTTTCGTTCATATTAATTTTCAGACGTACTCTTGTGCTTTGCGTGTCAAATTCAGTAATGATGGGCTGTTTTCGTCCCCTATGTTATACTCGTCGAGGCGATGCCATCAGCGACTCGCAGGCTACTAAGATACTCTCAATGAACTCTTATCCCTAACTCTTCACAAGCTAGGGCCCTGAAAACCTCCTGTAAAGACGCAGTGAATAGCATGAAGAAGACCCTGTCTTTCTGCTTTACATGGTATGTTGTGATTTTGATTTTGTCCTTGTATTATTAAAACAGCAGTCTTGAAATAGTTTACTGTCATTTATAGTGGAGTCTTCAGAGCTGTAATATATCAATCACCATCCAAGTGACACTGTCGCTAATTTGCGGGTCGTTTTTTTTTTTTTGTTCTGTCGCTACTCACAGA